GCAACAAACTGGTCTGATGCCCCAGGGGGGAAGGAGACGGAGCAAAGCGAACATGCAAACAAGCTGTCAGTTTGTAGAGCACTTTTAGAGCCTGCGGGACAGCTGGGAGGGGTCTGGCTGGTTTGTTTAGTCTATGTGACTGTTGGCAGACATGGCAGAGGCTCGACGGCACAGGCAAACCTATCTCTGCTGCCCGTCGATGTGAGAAGCTCACTCATAGCAGCGCGGGAAAAACAGTCCAACCGAGGAAACAGTCGAAGATAACGAGCTGGAGCAGAGGTGTGAAATGATCACCAGCCAACCAACAGTGATTTTTTTTTTATTTGTAAAATCAAAGATAGGCATCAAGCTGGCGCACAATTAATCAATGCAATGAAATGAACTGTGACTATATGAAACTCCCAAAATGGGGAAAAATATAAATTTAAGCCACAAACTGACAATATATTTTTGGTGTTCCTCTAGTGAGCTGTGGTGTTGTTACAGCTCTGTAAAACTGACCTGATGGTAACATACCAGAGGCCCCACGGCTCAGCCCCTCCTACCTCGAGGGGCCCTGTTCAGTCCGTTACAACAGACAGAAAACACTGTCCATGGCTCGGTTAGCACAGCGAGCTTGAACACTCTCCCACACCAAACTACATAGAGCTGTGACAGACTGCGTTTGTCTGGGCCAGCATTCAAAAGAGCAGCTCTGTATTTAGAATGAGTGAATTACTGTTCTTTGGAAATACACGGACGTAGAAATATGCATATGGGTGTCTGGGGTTGGGGTGAGTGTTTGCTGGGGAAATGCATGCTGGAATAAATGCCATTGGCCAGTCAAGAGGGTTGTTACAGGATAGATTTGTGATTCCACTAAGTTCCCGTAGAGGTTAATTTTCAACTCGTGGAGAGGAGAGCTGGGCACCAAACCCACGGTAAAACCCACATCAATGTGGACAATAAAAAACACAAAGTGTAGAGTAGTTTGTGACTGACTCAATTCTGGAGACAGATGTACACAGAACACAGATGCAAATATTTATATATTGCACTGGCTACAACCACTGCAGCTACATTTTCCCATTTCACTTCTCTCCTGCTTCCTCCCCCACCCCATCTCTTGATGTGTCCTCTAGTATTATGCGTCACCCACCTTCACCACATCCATCAAGGTTGCAGACCTGATCAATAACCAATGGCCTTTCTTCCCAGCTGCCTCACAGATGCACACAAGTGGTCTTATTGCTTATGTAACGATCGACTTATCAGGTCATTTTGCTGCTTACTTTGTTACTGTTCACTGACAGGGGGCCTGGGGGCACTGACAAATATAAGGGAACTGTCGAATTATTGAAGGAGATGATGAGCGAAGGACCGCGTAGCCAAGAGCGCACTGGTTGTAAGATAAAATGTGTGAGAAGGAACCAGATCAAAGATGGATATGAAGATAGAAGTAGATGAAGGGGGAAACAGCAACTGCAGCATGGTGAATGATTAGCATGCCTGCCAAAATCCAATTACACATGACCTAGAAGAATGACTGACAAGCAGACAGACAGACAGACAGAGCAGACAGGAGCCAGCCAGAGAGTACAGCTGCACCGCTCTGTGGTAATGAAGTCACTGGTTTCCAAATAGCAAATAGAGGAAGCGAGAGGTGCAGCTGTCTGCCGTCTGTGCCGCAGCCACTGTGTCAGCCCAGCCAGGGAGACAGACAGAGGAGGGCTGTTCTCTCTGTCTGACTTTGAGCCAGCACAGCGCTACAAAACAAGGCCGAGGCAAATAAGCAACACATGTTAGGGGTCGTGTTCGATAGGGTTCAAAGACACATCTAGTTCTTCATATTTTAAAACTTAATTATGGGGGAAGGAGTCGCCACTGTAGTATATAAAACTAAATATAATACACAAATAACCTTTTTTTTTTAATATGTCGCTTTTTTAATTTTACGTTTTGTTACGTTGCTGAAACTAATGCCATGCAAGGTGACGTTTCACAATAAAGTGGATGTAGTAATTTTTTTGAGTTACTTCCTGCTTTCTTTGGCAAGACAAAAAAAATATCACCCATTAAAGTGTGACATCACCTGAAGTCTCAGTTTAAAGTATAAGCAACTGTTACAACCAGCAGAGGCAAAATGAACCCATTGTTTGGAGTGAACTAAAATAATTTGTGTAATAAGGCTTCGTCTTGTTGCTGCTGTCTGTTTGTGGCGTCCGTCTAGCAAACTCTATTTACTCAGCAGGGATCTGTAGACAGGGCAGCAGTGCCTCCAGGCATAAGGCGCCATTTATAGAGCGCAAGTCCTGGAGTTTTTAAATGCACCTACTCAAGCCAAACACTCCTAACAGGATATGGGAGTGCTAGGCCATTGGAGAAAGTCAGAAAAAAACTTCCAGAAGGCTGCACTTGTTTGTGTCTCGTCTCTTGTCGAAGGTCCCAGAACCCTCTAGTAAAACTGAACTGCTCATGAATGTGCACATTGACACTGTGTGTAAATAAGGGCTCATGGGAGAAGCGGTCTACGTTTGGGGTTAGACCAACGCAGAGAAGTGAGCCTTTTTTTTTTTTTTTGTAAAAGCAGGCGTGTGACTGTACGAGCTGCCCGGCTGGCCTTCTGCTGACATCCACTGGGATGTGGAAAGTGTGAGTCACACCGCCAGTGCAGTGGAGGCGGTCGGACACCGAGAGTCTGGAGGATGTTCAGGGTGCGAGACATGTCCTCCTCACATCCTGTTCAGTCAAACATTTTCATTACGCCAGCACACAAGCACAGGGTGGTTTTACTTGAAGGGGAACCACTGTGTTGTGACTGAGAGCTGTGGCACACTGTGGGTGCAGCTTGTTCTCTACTTACTGACCTTTGATACACTCGTATTATCTGCTCGGGGAGGGGGTGAAGCATGCTCGTTAAACACACAAAATCACCTGCTTTCTGGAGACTTTCATGCACTCTCCAGGAATGTGTCCATTTGTGACTTTATGTCTAGACAAAGTTCATAGAAGCACCATTTCTAATGGAGTCAAATACTTAAACATGGCAGAAAAGAGAAGAAAGGAAAAAAAAAAGAGAACGGTGTGAAAATCACCTCAGAGAGAAGACAGCACCTCAAACTGTGGTGAGACACAGGCTCCAGAAAGCCTGGCAAAGTGTGAGACAGCAAGACAAAGATGTGTCATACTAACCTCCAATTATCTGTTCTTTTACACGCACACTGAGAGCTACAACGTCTGACACGTAAAAACTCACAGAGACGTTAGGATTCATAATTCACCATGACATTACATGCGTTTTGTTGCTTGTGTTGCATGCGTCTGTGTCCGTGGCTTTTTTTTTTCTTCTGCCTGTGTTGTAGTATTATTTTGTCTGTGCCTCAGAGAAAGAATGTCTGCGTCTTCCAAGATGAATGCCTTAAACCGAGACAGAGGAAGAGGAGAGGGACGTTTTGGGAGGAGGCGGGACAGGAATGTGGTTTGACGCCAGACGAGACAGCCTTTCAAGCCTGTTTCACACTCCGAGTTAACCCGAGACGGAAGAGACAAATTATTTGTCGGTTTCATACGTAAACATTTGTTTTTCTGGGTGTTTTGGACACCTGCAGCTGCTTTAAATACATGTTGCACCCCACAGCCTTACACATAAACAACTAGTTTGTTAGAATTAGTGACACAAACCATGCTAGCAAGGGCTGTAGAGAAATCTTTCTGCACCAGTCAGACAAACACACAATCCCGCATTCACCCCAAGAACAACACAAAGGGGGTCTACTCTGGTCCAACAAGTTGAGACACATAAGATTTTCAATGCAAATATCAATGATGACTCCTACATGCACTCTGGCCTTGACTCCTCAATGCAAAATAAAAAATAAGAATTAGAAGCAAAGGCATCCTTTTCAGAGGACTGCAGCATTATGGGTTTCCATAATAATGCAACGAAGCAATTTCAATTTCAGGTTTGCCTGCAGGTGAAGGGAACCTAGAAAATGGCTTGTGCAGCATCTAGACATTTTCCTTTTTCCAATAAACACTTTTCTCCTAGGTTGCTAAGCAACTCTTCACAGAAATCATAAATCTGAGACCAAACAGTCAAAAATGTCTCGTTTGATGTCACCAAGTTACGGTCCTCTAAAACTGCAGGGATATATGTGAAATGACAAACTCCCCCATTGGCGATAAATCAAGATAGAACTTTATTTTTTTAGGCAAAGGATTTGGACATAACTGCTGACATGTATGTAATGCCAATCCTGGAGTTTCCTAGTTTCTTCCTGAGCCTCCTACGTTGACCTTTTGTTGAGCGCCTTTCCCACTGACCTCCAGCTAACCTGAAAGGACACATGATGCATTTCCTCTATAGCTGTGGCCAACTGACCTAAGTTTGACTGATCAGAGCCGGTGTCACCACCTGTCCAAGGACTCAGACACACGCTAGGTCATCGCTGGTTTACGTAAACACCATCCCAAAGGTAGTCAGTTTAAACCTATCAAATACACAAAACATGGGACTGCACCATTACAGAAAATGTGCAAGAGTTGGATAATCAGCTACTTGTGGAGACTTTGAATAACCCATTATCCAAAATAACACAGAGAGCTCTCAACATCCAACAACACCCATCCCAAGCCTGGTTCTGCTGGAGGTTTATTCCTGTTAACATGTAGTTGTTCCTTTCCACTGTCGCCAACGTGTTGCTCAGGATGGGACATTGTGACAAAGTGAAGATTCAACACAATCTGTTGGCTTTCTTAGACAGCTAACTTTTACTAATTGGCATTTCATAATGTCCTCTCTGTGAATGTATTGTGTGTGAACATGGACTGCAATAGACTTATGATTTGAACTTGTTTATTCTTGTATAGGGCCCTGAGAAAACTTATTGTAAATTGGTGGTAGATAAGTAAACTGAATTTAATTTAATTGAAATATCCAATGTTTTATTAGCTTAATGTCTATTTTAGTGTACAAATGTGACTTGTTTTTTGGCACCAACAGTTACTCAAATTGCACTTACTTTGTCTAGCGATCTCTTGAATTGATAGTGAAACTTCTCTTTGACTTCGTCGAGCAGCTGCTTAAGTCTGGGCTCCTCAGGGGTCCCCTGGTACTTCCTGGCAAGCTGCAGGTAGCACGGCCATTTGGCTGAGTCAAAGCCCCAGTGGCAGGTCCTCTTATCTGGTGACTTGTGTGAATGCATGACAAACTTCTGTGGTGAAAAGAGCAACTGGCATTCAACACACTGGATGCAGTGTGCCTCAGGCTGGGTGTAGAACTGGGGAACAAGGAGACCCTGGCACTTCCCCAGACACTGGTGCTCCACCTGAAAGCTGGCTTCGCTCTCCTTCAGCAGGCCCTGGACTGACAGCTTACCGCTGGGATCAGCAGGCAGGGTGGCTCCGGGACGCAGGAGAGCGTTGCACAGCCGCTGAGCATCCGTGAGCGTAATGAGACCGCAGGAAGGAGCATTGAACGGCAGGATGCCCAGCACCTTGAGGATGTGCAGCTGCTCGGCGTCGCAGCGAGAGCAGTAGACGTAGAGCTCGTCGCACACTGTGTTGATCTGCTGCAGCGAGAAGTCGCGTAGCACAGAGTTGAGCACCTGAGGCAGGCAGAGCCGCTTCTCCCCACCGACGACAAAGCAGGAGATGGACTCTCCCTCCAGCAGCGAGTGGGTGAGTTCAGTGGAGCTGTCACAGGGAACCAGCAGAGGGCCCCCTCCCAGGACAGGAGGGGAGGGCAGGGGGGGCAGACCAGCAGAATGCTCATGGCCTGTACGAGCTGAGAAAGCAGCTGGGCCCCCAAGGGAGCTCTGGCTGCTGAGAGTAAACTGGGCCAGTGTGTGTTTGAGGCCTGGACTCAGGTCCAGGGCTTTACCGGAGCCCATGAAGTGCAGCTCGGCCCGGCCCTCTAAGTCCATCTCAACGTCGTGATGCAGATCTTCCACCAGCTCCCGCTTCACTTTGGGAGTTTTGGGAAGGGAATCCAAGCCGCGCCGCTTCAGATTGATCTCCGCCATCACTCGTTTCTTGATGGGGGCGTCCTCCATTCGCTCCCTGTACAGCCGCTTCATGTTGCCCTTGAATGAGGTCAAGTCTTTAAAGGGGGGTTTCAAACTGGTCTGGGTGCTGGCCATACTGAAGAAACGGGTCACAGTCGTTCGTCAGCGCTTCTTCTTTTCCTCCCTCTTTCTCGTTTTTCTTTGTCTTTTTAACCCCTGAAGTCGTTCTTAAATGACATAAATCTTCTGGTAGTTAAACACATGCATGATGGACACTGAAGTTTTTTATGTTCTGATCCACTGCCTGAAAAAAGAAACAGGAACCGGAATTTAGAAGACGGAATGATAAATATTCACTGAGTATCTAAACAAAACAACACGTAGCCTGAGCATGAGATTGTGCATAATACTGTTTCAAGGTTCATCCAAAACAACCACAATGTTGTCATTTCTCAACACAAGATGGTCTAAAACTGGCACGAAAGGCAGCGAGCAATGTGGTCTTTATTTTATACTGTTCCTGTTCGAGATTTAAGAGGCCAGAGGCTGCAGTGGTTCTGACAAACAAATGGCAATTACCATATTTCACACGAACACAAGGTTTTCTCAGACAGAACCAATGTTTCCACCAAACCAACATGTTCACAAAGTGGGAATTTTAACATACCAGTTGGTCAAGGAGTTAATGGGCGTAATTCAACACGCACAAAAACACCTCACTTTGCAAATTAAAGTATCCTTCCCTAAGCCACATCTCCCCCACCCCCACCCCCACCCGTCTGCTGCTTATCCATCAGCTCCAAGAAAAACTACCGATGAACGCGTCCTTCGATCCTTTCACAGTTTGACATGCGGAACTACACAGAAAAATGGTGTTTCTCCTAGTGTATTAATCACTAACTGTAATCAACAACACTGACACAAAGGTATTTAATGTAATATCATGCAGACTGGTCCCAAAAAAAAAAGAGACTATGCACAAGCTTTTCTCATAACGATTAACGTGTCCTTAAATCACACATTTTTAAGCAAAAACTGCGAATACCTGGCAACCATGTCTGTTTGTTTACATACAGAAACAGCCGAAGTGACAGAAAAATGGTCAACAATGGCAACGTCCATGGAAGTGCCATTTAAGATGAAGTTTGACAACTTTAATTAATTTGTTTGTTGAGTATATAGATATAAAAGTAGGCTAGGTTGAAATGGTATGGTCTGGAAGTTTTGTGAAATCTGTTTGAATGTCTATATCTATTTTTATGTTGCTCCTCTATACCCCTTATGATCCTCCCATGTTTGTTCTTTAGCGTGCAATCCCACCTAAATGTCTTCTCCGGCATTTTTCTCTTGTCAGCTAGCACCATACTTGTTTATCTACCGACTAAAGTAGTCTCGCACAACTCAAACTTCAACATGGCTTCCCATTCATTCAACCTTTATTTATACAGGTTAGCCCCATTGAGGCTTGGGGACTCATTTACAAGAGAGACCTGATTCTAGAAAAACAATGGACAATCATAAAAGAAAGAATACAAATTGAGAACAAATGAAAGAAAATGATATATTAAAAAAATTGAATGTAAAGCCATGTAGAATACTAACAACAGGATTCAGCCGCTTTGTTTACATTGAGTGCGTACCCACATTTCAGAGCTGCTTAATCAATATGTCTGGAAAACAAACTCTTTCAAACGGATATTACTTCCAAGACAACAATTTTTATGTTTGGTTTCATAGTTTGCAATGAGTACCTTGCTGCTGCAATATGGCACAAGACAAGGCAGCTTTAATCCGGGAAAGATTCGTTGTTTTGAATTAAACCCACGGTTTTTGAAACATAAGGTCAAAGTACTCCTGTTTATTTCCTTCCATTGGGTAAAACAGCCGCGGTGCAGAGCTCTGCGTTGAATCCCAGGCGGGTTTTTGATACATTTGTGGGTGTTTTGGTGGAAAATCCCACCGCGGGGGACACGCTAACAAATCACACCACCGACCAGTACGTGACCTCTGTTTTACATTAGCTCGCGCAAAAACACTAGAAGGTAAACAGGTTGATGTCACCCCCACTTCTTCTTCAGGGATCATTTTGCTGCAAGGACACCGCGGCTCTCCCCCCTCCTCCTCCCTCCGGTCTGTAGCTCTGCTGCTGGCTCGGCTCTGGTATGCAGACAGTGCTGATAATGACATTCACCGTCTACACCGACCGTCTGGGTCTGCCCGTCCATCCGCCCGCGGGGGGAAGGCACCGACCGACCGCGGACGAGGCGCCGCACTCACGCCGATCCAGAGGGCACAGTGTGGGGGGTGTTTCCGACCGCGACGTTGTCCGACTAAAACGAAACCGCGGCGTGAAATAGTCCTCAATAAATGAAGACTACAGGGTTGTGCGCTACTTTGTCTCTGACCCAGAAAATGAACGAGAAAATTCCGTTAAAAGGCTAATTCTGACTGAGCCACCCCCCCCAGGATGATGATGATGATGCCCCGGTTTAAACGGCTAAAGCGGCATTCACGGACCGAACAACCCAGTTTCCTCCTCAGCAAAACTTGACTCGGTTCTGTCGGCGGTGTCCTCTGCGACGGACCGAGGGATAACCCCGTCCAGACTATTTTAGCCCAGTTAGCCCAGCACAGTGACCGCCGAGCAGCGCTAATTTTACAGCAGGCTAACCCGTGATAGAGAGCGGCTAAAGCAGATTAGCTTCGTCCCCCCTCCGTCGGCTGAGCTCAGAAATACAACCGTTAGTGACAAACCGAGACCCGTCACGGTAAAAACATCAGCGAACAGCTGGGGGAAGTGATAAAAGTCCTACTTTTAAAGCAGCGAGCACTTGCCTGGACGACGCGCGGCTCCGTCCTCACTCGCCCGGAGTCTTCTCGACACTGGAGAGCCTGGCGGAGCGTCACGCAGCCAGAGCTCCACTACAGCCGAGAAACGTCACTGCACACGGGCTGAGAGGCGGAGACGTCACCGGCTGACGGAAACTATGCGGGGGTGTCTCTCGTCTGTCGGTCTGCCTCCGTGCGTCTGTCTCGCACAGTCTGGGACATGTTTTTTTTTTTTTTTTTTTTTGGTTCCCCTCTCTTCATCTGCAGGTATAAAGCTGAGCCCAAAACAACAGGCAGGTCCGTGGAGAGAGACAAAGAGGCGGTTCGGGGGCTTTCTGGAGGTCGTGAAAAGGTCCAGCACTGGTCCTCCCAGGAGCAACCAACACACAAAATATTCTCCATTATGTATAAATTAGTTAACATTACCCTTTTAATATACTGTACGACGGAGCTTTAGGGTCACGCTATTTTTTTAAAAATCCATAAAATTATGAGAATAAAGTCAAATAAAGTCTTAATATTATGAGAATAAAGTCATACAAGTGTTTTTGCAGCTCTCGTATTTGTTTGTTTGTTTTTTCACAAGTCAGATCTATGACATGATTGGCGTGTCAGCGAATGTGCAGGGTTTACTGCATTTGAGCGGCGGGTGTGGTAAAATGAAGATTGTTGAGCATCTTGTTAAGTTATACTTTGGTATTGGTTTTACAAATAAAGAGATAATGTTAGCACATTAGCATCAGATTATTATCAGTATCAGGACTTGGAACCTTACAGTAAGGTGGTATACGCTCTGATGGGCTGCAGCGTAGCTCTGCAGGTAAGGCGCATTTAGCTTTGATTGGTCATTAGCCGACACGCCTACTGGATTGATTGACAGGTCGCATTGTGGATCCGACTCGTGGAAAAAATAAAAATAAAAAACGAGAGCTGTAAAAAAAAAAGAAGTCTCGTACAACTTTATTCTCGTCATACTATGACTTTATTCTCGTAATTTTATGGCTTTTAAAAAAAGTTTCTTAGCGTGGCGCTAAAGCTCTGTCGCAATATTGCCCACCACAGCCAAAGGCAAAATTTCTAAAATGTTTTTGTCTATTTCTGTACATTTTGCTTGCCTGTTAGCAAAATATTTTATGAACCACCCAAAGAATTTTATCCAAACTCCCAGAAAGCAATAATTTAGATTAGATTTACATCTACTGCTGATTAACTCCAGGAGTCAATCCAACTCAAGATGGTTGCCACAGCCAGCTGATATTACAAAACATAAAAATGCATTTACAGTAGTCCCTTGCTACATCGCGGTTCGACTTTCACGAACACGCTCTTTCGCAGTTTTTCAACGATTGTCAACTTTAATATTACTCACGTGATTGGGACGTTATGGGATATAAAGTTAATGGGGAAAAAAATACTCTGAACAGGCGCCATCATTTTGTAGTTTTCTTTCAATAAGCCTATACTGTAACGCCGGTCAAAAATAACTACATTACCCAGAAGCCAACAGTGCTTCCAGTCGCTGCTTTCTGCCAAAGTGGAGGGAAAGTTTTGCAAAGCTCACAGAACTGGCAAGGAAGTTGCAAATAATTATGAAGTTTCCTGAAGCTCAATTATCCACGTGCGCATCAACCTAGACGGAGTTGTGGGGGTGGGCTTCATTGCTGCAGAGTAGGTCTGCAGAACCGGAACCGAGCCTGACCAGAACCGAGCTGCTGTTGTTCTGTAGAGCTATTGAGTAAAATTTTGCAGCACTGTACAGTACATGTTGGTTGGCCTTGTTGCTGTTTTAAGTGCTATATAAATAAATTGGTATGGTATGGTATGTTGTTAAAATTATGTAGGTTTCAGAGTTTAGAACATTGCAAGAGTGTGGGAAGAGTTTATAAAGCCTTAAGATATATAAAAATACTAAAATAAATATAGCGTTTCTACTTCGCGGTTTTTCACCTGTCACGGGGCTGTAGGAACATAACCCTGTCATAATCGAGGGACTACTGTACCTCTATCAGTTTTACAGATATTAAGCTAAAATTTGTTGTAGTAGACTACCACTGGTAGTAGCTGAGAGTAATTCACAACAGAGTTCTGCACAACATCTTTGCTTAAAATGTTGGCATTAACTCAGAGTAAACACTGTCAGTCTGTTAGCAAAATACCGCAAGAACCACAGAATAGATTTCAATTCTCAGAAAGTAATCAGATCTATACAACTGATTAACTTTTGGAGTCAACCCAATTCAAGATGGCCGCCACAATTAATCAAGCTTATCTCACACAACAATGAATATAACAGTGCAACTGACAAAAGCTGAGCTAGTTTGAAGTGGTAGTAGCTGAGAGTTATCCTCAACACATACTCCAGCTTTGAAACAAAAAGTGGGTGATATACATTTCTTCTTTGCCTTTTATTATATTGCCAGTACTGTTTATTATAATTTATTGTGGCCTAAACAACACCAAGACCCCCACACT